CAATAAAGGGCCGAGTGGGCTGGGCCCAATTGTTGATTTTGAAAGGTTCAAATGTCAACCGCTCGGGATTTATGCTCCAATTTGCCGGACCGAGGATTTGGCGATGCACGACTTGGCAACTAATAATCGTTTACTTGCGCTTTTACTGATGACGTCTTTGACTAAATGTTGTCAACTCTTTTAGCTTTAGGCGATTATGACGATTGTAGAAAAATTAGCGTTGACTTTTTAAATAAGTTTATTTTTTATGGATAATTTTAGCTTTATTAGTATTTTTTTTAAACGTGGTATGAATAGTTTCGTGCGTCAAAGAGTATTTTCTTAAATTAAAAAAAAAATTTACATGTAATTTTTAAGTTTTTTTTTTTTTAAATTTAGAAGTCGAAATTATTTTAAATAAAGAATTAATAAATTTCATTTAAGATGGTGTTATTTAATTATTTAAAAAATTTAAGAACATTATTAAAATTTTGGAAAGCAAGAATATTTTTGAAATAAAATATAAAATTAATTAATTTTTTTTCTATTAATTTAGCTAAACATATCTCGAAGAAGAGTTTGGAAATATTAAATAAAGATTACACCAAGAAGGTTGTTATAAGAGATGAATAATTTTTGGTTATTTTTATTTACAAAATTAGTATTGATATAGTTCTGGCTGTGGTCGACAAACACAATCGGGTGTTTGGTCTAGTGGTATGATTCTCGCTTCGGGTGCGAGAGGTCGCGAGTTCGATTCTCGCAACACCCCAATGTTTTTCATATTTTTTTAAATCAATAAACATTTGGGCCGAGGTCCACCAGGCCCAAAAAACTTGTTAGCCCAAATATGTCGTGTCACTTGGTGAACAAAATTCGAGGACTCGCAGAGACCTGCTTCTCGATTGATTAGGGTTTTTCCTTCCTCTGATCATTCTTCTACCAAAACCTCTTCCCATCTCTCGTTCTTCACCATGAGTAGGTCAGGCCAGCCTCCAGATCTTAAAAAGTAAGTGCTGCCCTAAATTTTATCCTGTTCGGTGTATTTTTGGTTTGATTATTTCAACTTTTTTTTTCCTTGGTCCTCATTTTTCCCTTCTTTATGCAGATACATGGACAAGAAGCTTCAGAGTAAGTTCTGTTCCTCACGAGCTTGTTTATCTTATTCGTTGTCGCACCGTTTAGGTTCTGGAAGTTTGGAAATGACAATTTGTTATTCTGAAAGTCGAGAATCCGTCAATTCTTTTCGTTTTCTTTGAATTTATGCCATTTGTTTTATAATTTCGTTTGTTTATTAGTGTTCGTAATGTGAGGAACCTGAAGTTGACTATTCCTAGTTTAGTACCTATGTTAAGATACGAAACTGTTTGGAGACGAACGGAAGAAGGATTGGACTTCAGAGTTAGATTATAGGGTGTTGAGAATTGTTGGGAGGGAGTCCAACGTTGACTAATTAAGGGGTGATCATGGGTTTAAGTAAGGAATATATCTCCATTGGTACGAGCCATTTCGGGGAAACCAAAAGCAAAGCCATGAGAGCTTATTCTCAAAGTGGATAATATCATATCATTGTGGAGGTTCGTAGTTCCTAACATGGTACCAGAGCTATGCCTTTAACTTAGCCATGTCAATAAAATTCTTAAGTGTCGAACAAAGAAGTTGCTAAGCTTGAATATGTAGTCAAAAGTGACTCAAGTGTCGAACAAAGAGCGTACTTTGTTTGAGGGCTCCAGAGAAAAGAGTCGAGTCTCAATTAAGGGGAGAGTGTTCGAGGGCTACATAGGCCTTAGGGGAGGCTTATGGTGTACCTTGTTCGAGGGGAGGATTGTTGAGGATTGTTGGGAGGGAGACCCACTTTGGCTAATTAAGGGGATGATCATGGGTTATAAAGTAAGGAATACATCTCCATTGGTATGAGATCTTTTTGGAAAACCAAAAACATAGTCATGAGAGTTTATGCTCAAAGTGGACAATGTCATACCATTGTGGGGGTCCATGGTTACTAAAATATAGTACTAATGACCATTTTTCTTTTTGTGATGATAGAGACCTAAATCTCACCGTACATCTATCTGCTACATTTGGTTGATTATATCCTAGGTAGGTGGAGACAATCCCATGATTGCTGAGAGACCTAAATTCTAGATAATCTACCAAAATAAATGGTCATTGAGGCAGCTTTCTTCATTAGGTCGAACATTGGTTTTTCAGTCATTGCATGTATAATCCGGAAATTAAAGAAATCTCACATGTCAGCAAGTTTTGTTTACAAATTGTTGATGCTTCTGAATTACAATTTGCAGTAAAAATGAATGCTAATCGCTTGGTAGTTGGAACTCTTCGTGGGTTTGACCAATTTATGAATCTAGTCGTTGACAACACCGTGGAAGTGAACGGTAACGAGAAAACCGAAATCGGCATGGTGGTGCGTGTGATTTTGCAATCTAATTCTTCTCTATGTTTGTTTGCTTAAATTGATAACCACTGATAGAGTTCAAGAATTGATTTCCCTTATTGGTTTCCATTTCAGGTGATTAGGGGCAATAGCGTGGTAACCGTTGAAGCACTTGAACCTGTAAACAGGATGCAGTGATGGTGCACGCGTTGGAATTTGCTGCTCTGTTTCATAGATTGAGTGAGTAAAACATTCGGAACTGTTGCATTTGTAATTTTGGGATGTTACGAATATCAGATGGATTTCTTGTGCTCCCATCATTCTGAACACCTGGTTTATAAATTTCAGCGATGGGGTTTCTGTATTATGGATTCAATTACCTTGCAACTCTTAGTGTATGAAACCCATCGTATCACTTGAAGATGTGTTCATTAATCCCATTACGGAGGACCCAAAAAGAAGACATAGTTTCAACCCAGTTTGTATCAAGTCCCAACTTCAATTTACATAGCTTGTCATTCTGAGTTTGTTCGAGTTTTTCACTGAATGAGAGTCGGGATTACGATGTAATCCTTAGAACTTTTTGTAGTAGTCGTACTTCCATTTTGCAGGAACGTTGGGGAAGGAGTTTAGCATTACACTATCTGCACGACAAAACCATCGTGCAGGAATTGTCCGAGCTCTTCTAGTCCTTCGATGGTCGAAGAAGAAGATGGTCCAAAGGTCAAACATTCCCATTGACTTTTCCATGAAATCAGGCTGTTGTTTCTTCATGGGCAAGTGCAACTGCCTGGGAAGTCTTTTAGCATTTAGCCATTGAAAAGTCTTAAACCCAAAACATTGTTCTACTTTTCTTTCATTCCCAAAGGTTAGGTCTAAAGATAAGTTAGTATGAATTATTCATATTATAAATTTTCTTCTAATATTTTTCTTTTAATTTTTTTGAATTTTTTTACTAACTAAAAACTTTGATATCTAAACTACAATTAATGAATGGGTTGTGGCGGATTCAATCTATCGAACTTTGATTTTGGACTGAACTTGAATTGGAGTAGAGTCGAGTTTGAATTGACTTTTGGGTCTCGAGCTTGTTGATGATGACGTTGATGCAAGAGTATCAAATACTTATTCGTGAAAACAACTCATTCTCGTAGTCAATATTTCGACCCTTATATCATACAAAGAATTGTGTATACTTTGTTGATTCTCCCCATTTTTTCAATCTTGTGATCTCAATTCAAATCTCGTGGAATCAACAAAATAAATAATTAAATAATATAATTTAATATGTTGTATGCGGTATGAAATATAAAATAGAATAATCTCATAATCGATAATATGCCGTATGAAAATAAAATACTATTGAAAAATAGATACATTTGAATGGTCAAATAGTCAAAAAGTCAAGTGATTTTAATATGAAACAAATTAATTTATAAAAAAAAAACAAAATATTTAAATATTATTTTGTTAATTTGTAAAATTAATAATCCAAATCACTAAAATTTCCACATCAAATTTTAAAAGGACCAAAATGTAAAATTTTTATAATATTAAATAATTTAATTTGATAATTAATAATTCTAGAAAAGGGCACCTGATTTGACGCAGCCCATTGCATAAGAACAGTTAAAATGGAATTTTCAATTTCTTGGAGTAAAATAATTTAGCATTATCTTGCAAAATATTCTAGATTTTAATATTATTTTCACATTCAAATTTCTTATAATAAATAAAATTAAATTCTTTTTAAATAGAAAAGTTTGAATTTTTGGTTGAAATTTTTGATCCTACTAATTATACTTATTTCTAAATCGAGATTTTTTTTTTTTTTGTAGAAATAATAACTTTACATTAATAAATCTCATTCAATGCTATATCTTCTATTTCAGAGTTAAGTTTAATTTCTTGAAAATAGTAGCATATTTAAACGTTCCAACAGCCTTCTACTTAGCCACACATATGTTTTAGTTGACTTTCTTTTTTTTTCTCGATAATTTCACAAATATTATTGTAATAATTTTTCGTGTTTTCTACTTAGCCACACATATGTTTTAGTTGACTTTTTTTTTTCTCGATAATTTCACAAATATTATTGTAATAATTTTTCGTGTTCATCAACACTTCCAACAGTTTTCTGATATTAAAAGAGTTAAAACATTTAATAACAATTAAATTATAATTATTTAATGCATCATCTCTCATATGCAAAAATAAAGAAGGAATGGTACTTTGCCACAAAATTATGTTGCTATTAATTTAATTAAACTTAAATATAAAGATGAATTTTCTTTAAAAAAAAACAAAAAAAAAACAAAAATCAAGTGGGCCCAAATCAAGGAATTGTGGTTTGAATTTGATTTTTTCTAATTAATATTTTTTAAAATAATTTTGTTGAAATTGAAAATAAATCGATATAATTACACAAAAATATCAACGTAATTACAAAATAACCATTTAAAATTAAAGAGCCTTTTTCTTCACTTAATTGGCGCACGGAGCACACCGAAGAAGACAGAGAAAAGGATCTCTCTCTCCATCACATTATTCGTTCAATTCAAGAACTCTTTTGCATTTTTCAGTTTTGATTTCGATTTCGATTTCGATTTCTTTCCCCATTTCGATTTCGATTTCTTTCCCCATTTCGATTTCTTTGTACCATGCCCCAGGGTGATTTACAGACATTCTTCACCGGTGATATTGTCGCCGACGACCGGAAAGCCGCTGGCGATGATGACCAAGCTACCTTGAGCGACGACGGAGAGAGACTGCCATTGGAGGAGGAGACAGAGGAGGCGGATCGGCCGGAAGTTCCTCCTGACTTCCCGCCGGAATCTTTCTGGCTCTCGAAGGACGCGGAGTTCGACTGGTTCGATCGTAACGCCTTCTTCGAGCGGAAAGAATCGACCAAGGCGAGTTCTAATTCCATGAATTTGAACCCTAATTTGCATCCGCAATCGAATTCGAATTCGCAGCGGTTTTCGACGAATTTGAAATCTAAGGCTTCGATGATCGGATTGCCGAAGCCTCAGAAGACTTCCTATGTTGACGCGAAGAATCGGCGTAACGGCAAGTCCGGAAACATTCGGTTGTTTCCGAAGAGATCCGGATCCGGTGGAAAATCGGTTTCGACAATGATTGAGCCTTCTTCTCCCATGGTATCATGTATGGGGAAAGTAAAATCGAAGAAGGACCGAAATCGGCAGAAGACTCACCATCACTCAACAGAACTAGCAACCGCAGAGGAGAAATCACTCGAAAAACAGAGCAAAGGATTCTTCGCGTGTTTCCGCGCTATTTTCCGTAGCGGTGGAAGAAGGCAACCAGTCGTCGAACCGACTGCGTCACTGACGAACTCGCCTCCAGAACAGGGCGTTAGAGCGCGTGACCTCGCTCCTTCCGCCACTAATCCGCCGTCGACAGCGTCTCATCCAAGCAAGACCGACGAAACAGATCCTCCATCCTTAGGCGGTTTGCAGCGATTCGCATCAGGAAGAAGGTCCAGTTCGTGGAGCGTAAGCGAGGTCAGTATAGACGTTGCGTAGGCGTAGGTGTAGGCGTAGGCGTAGCATTGACTCTTCCTCCATGCGAGGGATCATCGTGTCGTTAGTGCACGCCGGCGGGGCCCGCTGGAAGATTTTGATTCGGCTGTTTGCTCGTAGGACCGAATCGGCACGAATTTTTCGTTGGATGAACATGGCGGTTTGATTTCAACAACCATATATCAAATTTCTTCGACTCGATTCTGGTTTGAAAGGTAAACACATCGATTCCATAGTCTTTTCTTTGTTTAATTCTCATTTTTTCATGAAATCGTTCTTGTTTTTGGAATGAGTAGTTGCATTGTATATTCACCCATGATCATGATTGTATATTTTGGACTTCCGTTTTATCTTTTCTTGGTGTTCTTGATCAAACCCTACACTTCTTCCTAGGGTTTTATTAATTAATTCTAGCTTGTTGCTCAAGAAACTTTCACTTGAATATTCTTTATATATATATATTATATGCTACTTAACTTAATAAAATACTTTATCGGTTTGAATTTTAATTTAGATTTAAAGTTTACGAAACGAGAATCCTTGAGGATAAAGGTATCGATAACTGAATCCTTAGGCTCATTGCTTTCCTTTATTTCGGTTGTCTTCATGGGTCTCGTTGGACGTTCTGAGCTTCTCGGGACTCTCTTCTCTTATCGATTGGTTAGTTACCACTTGTGTGCATTCGGTGTCACCTCTGATTAGAATTTCGTGATTTGAATGAAATTCATGTGCACTCGTTTAGGGTGTAATCATACTAGCACTAATGTGTCTCATTAGAACTTTATCCTCTTTATCTCGGTTGTCCACGTGGGTCTCACTAGCCGTTTTGAGCTCCCGATGACTCTCTTATCTTATGGATTGGTTAGTTACCACTTGTATGCATTCGATGTCACCTCCACTTATGCCACTCAGGGTGATTATGAATTTCGTGATTTGAATGAAATTCATATGCACCCTGTGTAGGGTGCAATCATACTAACACTGCTTGTTCGTCTATTTACATAATTATTTAAAAATTATAATTTAGTCCAAATTTTATACGTAAATTTAAGATTTAAAAATATTTGATAATATAAATGAGGTGGTTGAGTATTTTTGTGGGAGAAAATAAAAGTTAATTAATTTAATTAGTTGCCGGCGGCTGAAGTCTGCGTTTGTTTCTGTTTTTCGTTTTTGGCGGCGGCGGGAGGCGCACACCACTCGCTCGCCAATCACCTAGCTGCCGCTACTTGACGTTTATTGGCAAGCCTAGATACAAAGATTCCTCATACACACCAAAAAATAAAATAAATAAATCAATAAATTATAATTTTGTTTATATAGTTTTAATATATTTAATTTTCATTTTATAAAATAATTTATTATTCAATCATTTAATCTACAAATTTATTTTCTACTTAATTAAATACATAAATTTAAATATTGTGTTTTTAAGTATAAAATCAAGTTTTTCACGAAATTAAAAGTTAACCACCGACTATATTTCCAAAATTTTTAAATATAAATCTTATTAAACATGTTTTATAATTCATTGAACGTGTTAGAGGGTTTAAATTACAATAATTTAAAATTTTGCGACATAATTATTATTTTTTAACTAACGAAAAAAGTGGGAAAAATTAAATGGTGGGAATTAAGGATTAGGTCCGGAATTGCACGAGTTTAATAATTATTAATTATTAAGTCGATCGAAGTGTGCGCTATTTTATCATGATTTTTAATTTTTTTTCTTTGCAGTAGTGGGGCTTGCTTTTCTTTTTATTTACATATTCCTGCCCAATTCTGACTTTAATTACCATCATTCCCATTACTCCAAAATTTCCTATCATTTTCCTATTTTTTTTATAAAAATTTTACAATTAAAATTTAATTTTAGAGACATCATTTTATATTATGTGAATTAAATTAATTAAATTAAAATTTTAAAGGTATTATTGTAACCATCACAATAATTTAATAATGGTTTGTCGCATTAAAAAAAAAAAAGACGGTTTGAACCGCAATGCAATAACCGGTTCGATTGTTGGCGGTTCGCTTGAATTGAACCGATCAATGAATAATCAAAACCAAGGAACCTTCCCTAATCAATCGTCTCAAACTTCAACAGCGTCGCGGGAGCTCTGCGAAACCCTAACTGGCACAGATCAGGAGAAACCAAGTTCAAACTAGCACGACCATGGATTCTGTAGCTCGTAGGAGTGGAGGAGGCCTCTTTGAAGGGCTGTATAGAGTAATTATGCGCCGGAATTCCGTTTATGTGACCTTCATCATCGCTGGCGCTTTCCTTGGAGAGAGGGTAAGGATCAGAACTCATATTTATATTGTGCATCTGATTCATCTATTTTGTTCCTTTTGCCACCTTCTTGCTTAAGGATAGAGAGAAATGAGAAGAAATTACAATATCAGTGGGCCATGGACGTATTACTTTATCGATTGGTTAATCTGGATTAGAAAAATTGAAATTGAAATTGGACATTTTGGCTTCTGGAAAGAGTTCAGTAATTGATTTTGTAGTTGTGAAGAGATCTATGGACTTGAAACTTGAAGATCTAATGATATACTCGTTTACTTTCATGTAAATTCATTCCCGACAGATGTGCAGTTGCCTTTGTAGAGTCTTAGCGTGCTTTTTTTCGGATTGTGCAGTTGCCTTGGATAACCTCCCGATGCAATGAAATGATTTTCATTTATTATTCTGATAGCTCAGCTCATTAAATCTGAGGGATGAATAATTTCATCATTTTAGGAGTTTGAGATTGCTCTCAACTGTTTTTGCATTCGTTCATATCTACTGTTTGAATATGCATTCGTTTACTCGCCTCATTCAATTGGCTTTCCTCTGGTTCTACATTTTTTTAAATGTAAATTATTTTGGTTTCCTGGGTTGTGCAAGACTAAATGCATCATTCTTAGCTTCCTACTGATTTTGGTTTTCCTGCTGTAGGCGGTGGATTATGGAGTTCACAAGCTCTGGGAATACAACAATGTTGGGGTATGGCATACACCATCTTTTGGTTTGGTTTCTTTAGTTTGAGATGTCTGTTTCTCGATTGACATTGGTTCTCTATTTATTAAGACTGTGAAATAGTGGCGATTGAAGCTTCTATGCAACTGTTATAGAACCGAAGTCGAATATCGTTCCTTGTTTCACATATCACCTCAAACATTAAGCTGCTGTTTGATTAGGACCAATTTGTGATCCATCTTTTTGTTTCTTATTCTCTTTTTTACTGAGAATGGAACATAATGTTCAAAATTTTATGTCACTTTTCATTTTTGTACATTGTATATGAAATATATGAACCAAAACAGTAAAGCTAACAACTTGATCAATGTTTTCAAAAAGTAGAAACAAGAACAGGAAACCGGAAATATTTTTTTTTCAAAAGTAAGAAATGAGAAATGGGAAACATTGCTAAATATATGTGTACCTTATGAAATGGTAGTGAGAAACAATTGAACTTCAGTTTTATTCTGTTCATCTGTTAAGTTATTGTTTTTGCCTCCTCCACCCTGTTCAACCTCTTTCCTTTCTTGTTATTTGTAGTGTATATTGGCAATGTAGATGCCAAATTTGTAATCAGAACCTCTACCTTGCAACTTGAACATTGGTTGTGGGCTTTGGCTGAACATTACCTTCTAATTTTGATTGTGTTTCCCTCTTTTGCGGCAGAAACGGTACGAGGACATTTCGGTTTTGGGGCAAAGACCATCAGAAGAATGATAGTCTCCTTGATGATTTGGTTATGGCCATTTTATTGTCATAAACAACCATGATTTATTTTTTTGAAATAAGTTTTACATGTCGGATTTTGCCCACCTTATATCTTGACTCTTGAGCATGGTGGTCTTTCAATGCCGGTTCATGTTGTTCATGTTCATGTTCATATATGAAATTACCAATCAAATGTTCCTGTTCTATCAGGCTATATTACTTGCCAGAATCGAGTCTTCCACTTGCTGGGTCTATTTCTTCTATTGTCATAAACATCATAGAGATGAACGATTTAATGCAGTATGTTTGGGTTTCTGGTTCATTCCACTTGTTTTTGAAGCCATGAATCCCAAACCTATTAGATTTTCTTCTGTTTTACTCACATTGTACAGGTCCTTGAGAAGGGGAGTTTAAAAGGCACACACCATCAGGTACCAAATCATGTTTTAAGCATATTCTCTGTTAGATCCAGTGCTTCATTCACTCTCTACTTTCCTAAACCCATAAGTGATCAATCACACCGTTTGACACATACGTGTGTTATGGCATAGGCAAGCGTCGCTAGACGAGCGTCTCTGGCTTCTTCTCTTGAAAAAGTTTTTTCAAAAACAGTACTGGATGACATAGGTGTGTTGATATTGGATTATACACCCGCTATTTTGAATGGATGCCGTAATTGATTTATCATGGACATGGGAGAGCCCAGTGCAGGATGAAAACTCGAATAGATATGAAATTCATTAAAATTAATAGCTCAACTATTATTGTTTTTCAAAAAATGAAACTATCCAAATCCTTCAAATAACTCACTTGAAACTTCAGGTTTCTCACCAGCACACCGAAACATCTTTGAAAGGTTCATATTTCTTCGTCTCAACTTGCTTCGACCTCGCTTCCGCTAACTGCCTTCAGCCACTAATTCTGTTGCACAACCACCGACTGCTACTGGTCTGAGACTCTGATCTTTCAACCTGTCTCTGTGCTCGTTGTTCTCTTAAATTCCTTCTTCCTCTTCTCATTTCTAGTTTAATCGCACGAATGCTATAATGTACTTCGTTTACTGGAGTCGATAATGTACTTCACAGTTACTCGTTCTACCAATTTGGAAGGCGAGGAATTAGCTTGGTTTGCTTGAAATGAAATTCCAAAGCCTTTGTTCTACCAGAAGTTCCAATCGCTTGAAATGTAATTTAAACGATTGATTGGTTATCTCTGATCTTAATCTTACTCTGATTTTCATGTTTGAGGTATGATTTTGTAAGGGGAAGGTGAAACAAATTGTTGGATCAACTCCAAGATTCATAGCAGGTTGAATCAACTCTGCTCACAAACAAGATGGGCTTACTGGTGGGCACGCCGTCATGCTTGGAGCAGATCCTTAAGCAAAGCTGCTGCCCTTGAAGCATGCCGTTCCGTTTTTTTGTTTTATTGCGGGTTGTTTTGTCCGAGTGAGTTTTATGGGCCGACTGGACCTGAAGCTTCCCAAGGTCAAAGCATTTATATTTCTAGTTAGAGACCAACGTCTTGGAGCTAACATTGGATCCGCTCAAGGACCTACTGGTTTAGGTAAATATCTAATGCGTTCTCCGACCGGAAAAGTCATTTTTGGGGTAGAGACTATACGTTTTTGGGTTTGTATAACGTTTTTTTTTCTATCACGCATTTTGATATTTGCTGAACGTTTTTCATTTCCGTCTCTCATTTCAACATATTAATGAACAACATCATATTTTGGCATACAATTGAGTAGTGCAAGTGTAACAACTCAATCCCACTTCTAGTAGATATTGTCTTCTTTGGTTTTTACTTTCGGGCTTCCCTTCAAGGTTTTTAAAACGCGTCTATTAGGGTGAGGTTTCCGTTTCCACACCCCTGTTTTGTTCTCCTCTCTAATCGATGTAGGCTCTCACAATCTACCCCATTTTGGGACTTAGCATCCTCGTTAACACTTGTTTCTCTCTCCAATCAACGTGGGATCTCATAATCCACCCCCCTTTGAGGGAAGCGTTCTTACTGTCACTCGTTTCTCTCTCCAATTAATGTGAGATCTCTCAATCCAACCCCCCTCCGAGCCCAACGTCCTCATTTGCACACTGCTTGGTGTCCACATCCTTTTGGGGCTCAGCGTTCTCGCTGGCACGCAGCCTAATGACTAGCTCTAATACCATTTATAACAGTTAAAGCTCACTGCTAACAAATATTATCTTCTTTGGACTTTTCCTTTCGGGCTTTCTCTCAATTCGGGCTTTCTCTCAAAATTTTTAAAACATGTCTTCTGCTACGAAGATGTTTCCACACCCTTATAAAGAATGTTTCGTTTTCCTTTCCAATCGATGTCGTTCCCCCTTTCCAATGAACGTAGGATCTCCCGTCTGTGTGGAAGGAATTGCTTGAAAACCTCCTGCAATTATGAAATCATGTTAAAGGTATTATGTCTTGGTCACCGGTTGTTGCATCCACTGCTATCGTTTGATTAAGGGTGTGTGTTCTATTAGAATCAAAATTAAAATCTTTTAGAATATATGTTAGGTTAAAATTTTAATAAATAAACACTTCAATTAGGTTAATAAATACAGTGAAACTTTTATGCTTTTAAATAGACACCAACCCAACCCACCTTCTTCCCCATACTCCATATCTAATTATTACTATTATTCCTTTACTTTAATAGGTGATGGATCTATATATCTATATATATCTATATATATATATATGTATAGGTAACATTATACACACATATACATTCATGGGAAATTTTTATCGGTCTAATGGGTCATTTTTTAATACGTTTTTTTGTGAATTTGGTATCGAACGAACGTTTGCTTTAAGATTGGATGATCGAAGAACTATACTCATTTACGTCATTTCTATAAATTTAGAGATGCCAAATCTATGCTTCTAACTTTCAATTATTTTAAGTTACGTTTGAGATATGGATTCATTCGATCGTGAATGGAAAAATTTGTGGTATGATTTTTGAAAGTTTTGTTACACTTTAGTTTGTATAATCTTAAACTAAAAAAGGAAAAAAAGGAAGGAGTTAGCTAGCAAGCAACTTCACTTTCCGGTATGCTCTGAAGAGAAGGCCTCCATTTGTGCAACTCCTCATCATCATCATCATCTTCTTCTTCCTCCAATTCTCTGCAACTAATTTCCCCACTCCCACTTTTGATCTTACAAATCATTTCATCCGCCGTAATTCCCCCTCTTTCAACCATCTCCTCCAGCTCTTTCTTCGTCATCACTACCTTTATTCTCATCACCTTCCCTTCCCCGCCGCCGGTTTCCTTCTCCGGCTCTGCAAAACGAACCGCCTTCTTCCCCCTTTTCTCCCCTGCCTCCGGCCCCGCCGTGGGGATCAGGAAATAGAGGTGGCCGCTGAGGAGCTTGGTGGTCTGTTGGAGATGGTGGGTGACTGGAACGGCGTCGGAGATGGCGTGGCCGGAGAAGTCGGAGAGGACTTGGAATACTCTTGTTGGGGATTTGTATTCGAGGATTTTGCCGTCGGGTTTCATGATTCTGATGGGGTTTTGTTGGACGATCAAACAGTTCCCCATTCTTTTCTTGATTCGATTTTGTTCCATCAAGAGTTGATTTAGGACTGGTATTTAAAGATTCTACCTTTACTTTTTGCCCTCCTATTTTTAATTAATTACATAAATACCCTTCTCCTCTTATGCAACCCTATTCCTCAGCCCAACAATCCGATCTTTTGTTGAACCAAAAACCCTTCCATGAAAGTAATTAACACCTCCTTATACGAACTTTGGACCAAACAAGTGATAAGGCTAGAATTAGATTAACTCTTGTGAAGATCTAGAAGCAAGATTTGGAAACCTTGTTTTACATTGAGTCACTCCACAATCGAACTTGATCAAGGCTTGATTGAATGGCTCGCGTGCAATTCTATTGGCAATGACAAATATGATACTCGAATTTCTGAGGGAAACGTCTCAATTTGAGATGTGAATTACATTCATCCAGAATATGAATTTTACATCATTTATGAAATTAAAAAGAGTTCTTTCTAATAAATGTGGATGTGATTGAATGGCGAGATAGGTTTGAAATCAATTGAACTTTGCCTGCATAAGTTCAAAACCTGTTATTCACATTTTAATCCCTAAAATTTGTAAAAGGATTATGACGGTTGGATGATGAAAGTCCCACATCGACTAATGTAGAGAATGTTCATCAGTTTGATACCATAAGGCCTTTTAAAGAACCTCAAAGCAAAGCCGCGAGAGCTTATGCTTAAAGTGGACAATATCATACCATTGTGGAGACTCGTGATTCCTAACATAGTATCAGAGCCATGACCTAAACTTAGTCATGTCAATAGAATCCTTAAACATCGAACAAAGAATTGTGTGCCTCGAAGGTGTAGTCAAAAGTGACTAGAGAAAGGAGTCGAGCCTCGATTAAGGAGAGGCTATTCTAGAGCGCTCCATAAGCCTCAAGTGTACTTTGTTTGAGGGGGAAGATTGCTAAGGATTATTGGGAGTGAGTCCCACATTGGTTAATTTAGTGGAAGATCATGACTTTATAAGTGAGAAATACTATCTACATTGGTATTGGTATGAGACTTTTTGGGGAAGCCCAAAGCATAACTGTGAAACCTTATATTCAAGGTGGACAATATCATACTCTCGTGGAGAGACAATATCATACTATCTATGAATTTTTTTTTATTGTAAATTTCCGCTCTAATCTCCATGAAATTTAATGAGAGAGAGAGTAAATTATCTCTATCCGAGTATTAAAATTTTATGTATATGTTAATTTAAAAATAAATATATAAAATTGACAAAGATAATAACTTTTTTTTCTTCAAAATATTGTAATTACAATAAAAAAAAAATTATGATATATTCTTTTAATAAATTATTGTAAGTAGTGAGTGTAATTATTAAGAATTCATAGTGCAATAATTATTATGGTTTTAATGGTTGGGTTTGTGGGAAAAAAAAAATAAAGTTATTGAAATAATTTTTAAAAACCTATGAAATTTATTTAAATTTAGATTTAATTTATTACATAATTTTTAAGTTAAAGTAACAATTAAAAAATTTATACACACGTTTACATCTTTTTTCATTTGGGTAATAATTACAACGGATAATACTTTTCTTTATAAAAAATATATGTAACTTTGATTCTTTCACTATTTTCATCATTATTACGTTATTTTATGGCGAAAATGTTAGCGCGTTTAATAATGAGTCAACCTAGAGTAAGCAATATAATGACTAGAAGCGTAAAAATGTTAACTCTAGTTAGATTATCTTAGTTTAATGTCAAATTGATCCGATCGTTTTAAAACACTAAAAAATAACTAAACGATCAAATGGACGATGTTCAGTTTGTTCACAACTCTAACTAAATTCACTTTAGTAGGTGTGTCTTAAAACTGTGAGGTTGTTGGTGACAAAGCCAATAATATCTGCTACCAATGAGCTTGAGTTGTTACATTATGCTTTTATTACTTGAACTAAACATGATCGTGTAATTTATAAATAGGATTCAACTATAGAAATGGTACTAAAATGTTGCTCGAACAATATTCAAACCCCAAAACAAAATAGTTGTCTACTTTAGACTTAATGTATTTGTTACGGCTCACATCATATTGCCCTTTGGCTATCGAGCGTCAAAAGTCACTATTTGCAACACACCATTATTTGAAAAGAAAAAAATATATATATATAAAATCATGTCGTCAAATTTGCACGTCTATTTATTGGGACCATATGTATCTCTAAAAAATTTATTCACCACACAAATTTCGTATATGTTTAGGGATATAGGTAGGCGCCTCTCCAAGACTATGATTTTGACTATAATTTTATGTGCGTGAGAATATGATTTTGACTACAATTTCACGTGGCTTATATATTTATTATTATTTATAATTTTTGTACGAAAAGAAATCGAAACACAAAAATTCGTGTTGGGTTAGGTTCTGTTTCATCCAAAGAATTTTATATCAATAACAGCATCTGTCTTTCTACCGTTGTAGATTTTTTCTTAGTTTTAACTGATACAAACCTACGTTCGTATATCTAACCAAAAACTTCTCTCGAGACGTATAAATCCGACGATTATGACGCGAAATTCTTTAAAAATATTTAATTTATTAAAAAATAAAAAAAAGAGGAGAGGGAAAGAGAATGAGAAAAGGGAAGTAAAAGAGTCAACCCAGAAAATGGGGATGGGAACCACACTAAGAGTATAGGTAGTAGGAAGGGGGAGGGATCTCAACTAGTGGAGTTTGAGGGCCCATCAAATCAACTGGGTACCCACCTGACTCGTTCAACCTTTCGGGTCGGTCAACCTTTCGGGTTTATTTCGATTAAAAGATTAAAAGTTCGAACCCTTTTTTAATTTTCAACTCGACCCGCTTAATTATAGTTTATCATATAGCTTAATCTTGGCTAAGCATATTCAGTACTGAATTATAGTTTATCATATATATTTCCATTACAAGATGTATCTTTCCGTATTCTTATAATTTATTTGATTATAAATAGAGAACTTTCGCACCATTTTAAGTAGGTGGGTTTAACAAATATTCTTGACACGTACCATCTCGTAACGTAGTTGGTTAAATATGTTAGAAGGTAACCCGAGCATACTTAAATGAGTAAGATATTCTTTATATTGAAATATATTTTATATAGCTCGATTTTTTTCCTTATTTCCAGTATTTGATTAACAGTATATTTGATATATTTTATATTATTACACGGATTTGATTATAATATTTTCTCTTATTTTTTATAGTCGAAGGGACGTTATTTTGTTTATAAAATTATAAATTTGATAGTCATGGTGACGTTGTTAGTTCCCTCAAAACCTTTAAATAATAAATAAATAAATAAATAATAAAAGGTGGCCTTAAAACCTCATTTAGTGGACCTATGAAGATGCTGTTGTAATCTTTCGTCTTCTCTACATAGGGGAAGAGGACAGGTTTGATGGCAGTTTTGTAATTATTCCGAAATCATAGGGTCAATTTGGTAAAACAACATATCTAATTTAATGTATCTTTATCTTTAATTATCTTCTTGAATATTTTTATCTTTTAACTATTATTATCAATACTTCGTGACAACTATTTTTTTTTTGTAGGTACGAGACCTTCTAGATGATACCATAAACAAATAAAGACATAGGTACAAATTAAACAAATATCATATCACTATTGAACGGAAATCTAATATAATATCTGTTCCCGACTTCATTCAGCTAACGAGGAGAAATCTCTCTCTACTTCCTCCTCGATTGTCTATTTAAACAGAGATTTCTTACCTCGTTCGAAGTAGGTTCCTGTAAAACTTCGACTCGGTAGGTTAAACGAAGGCCGAAAACAAAAAGAAGGGTAAATTTGAAGGGATAATATAATAAAAAAGTTCGGTTGTACATTCATAGTTGTGAATAGAATAATGAAGAACTCACCTTTCAACACGCATGCTTGCACAACAATTTTTGTTTTATTTAAAAAAAAAAATATTTATAATTTAAAATTTATAATCTCAAACATTTCTACATTGCTTTTAGTAGTGGAAGGTGTAAATTTCTAATGCCCATTATTACAAATTGGAAAATTTGTGAAAACCATTGTAATCCACTTTTTATTTCATTACTTATCTTTTTTTGCAAAAATGGTAACCCTATTTTTAAATAATTTATATTTAAATTTCCGAGTATCTTTTATAGAATAATAATTTAGTAGTATGAACGGGAAATTTTGAGTTGAGTATATAATATTTTAATCGATTGAGTTATGTTTAACTTGACATGATAAGATTTATTATTGAAACTTATATATGTAACAATTTAAGCCTACCGCTAAAGATATTGTCATCTCTAACTGACGTGGGATCTCACAGTCCACTCCCTTGGAGGCTGAGCGTCCTCACTGGTAGACCGCTTGGTGTCTAAGAATTTGTTTTTATTTGCCTCTCGAATTTTTAAAATTTGGTCTAGAAACGTATACGAATTGGGTTGGGTTGAGTTCGAGAAAACTTTTTGTACTGATCTAAAATTTCGAGTTAGTTGGAATAGTGCTTAACTAACACATATTCGTTTCACAATCTAATGAAACTCAACCCAATCCTCTACTTTCGAATTGAGTTAGGTCATCGAGTTTTTTAAAAACTTATATTTATCCGTAATACATAATAATTCAACACAATCAATGGTAAACGAGCGTTGTGATAGTGTGTAACTGCAAAAGGTGGTATGACGTGAGTGGGTGTGCGATGCGGTGGTTGAGAGGGGTAGTGTCGTGTGGGCGTTGGTGACAACGTGTGGTGTGGAGGTGTAGCGTGCAAAAGAAAACTAATTTCTACTTACGGTTAATTGAACAAATAGAAACTAGATTTAAATCTAGAAAAGGACACGAATAGAGAATTCCCGTACCCTTTTAAGCAATTTCCATTTCCCAACCCAACCCATTATTTATTTATTCCTTTCTCATTCTATAAATGTCCCTTTAAGGAAAGAATAATAAACAAACAAATAAATAAATAAAAAGAAAAATTGCTTTTTTGAATTTAAACAGCTTTTTGGGATTTTGTTGGGACGAGGTCGAGGAGTCAAATGAAAAACCACTGTTTTCTTCTTCTCAAAACATTCCGTTCTTTCTTTTTGTCTTCTTGTGCGAGACCGTTTCAAGGTGGGGCCCAAACGACAGCCGACGTGGCATCATGAGCTTTGACACCTGTCTTTCAGTGGTTCGACGGCACCGCCTTGACGACTTTTACTTGGCTGACACTCCCCAAGTCTTTCCGTTCAATCTTCACTATCTTTTAACCCATAATTGACTCACTGTTCGCCACGTGTCCTTGTGTTTTTCCACCTGGACCGACATGATGCTTGTCTGCGTCACCATCTTTCCCATATGTTCAAATATATTTATTTATTTTTATTTTTATTTTTATTTTTTATTTTTGGTAAAACACACTTTCAACTTAATTTCTAAGTTTTCCTAAGTAAATGAGATTTGATTTTATTTCCATTAAATGTGATATTCTTAATCTGATTTCTAATTAAGTCCTAAAGTTTGAAATTAATTTATAATTGGTGGGTAAGTATAAGAAGTCAAATAATATATACAAAATTAATATATATGATTAGTAAATATATTTTAATTTAAACTTTTTTAACTTTCGAATAATTATTTTAGTCTTTATCTTATTATTTATACCAAATTGATAGCGCTCACTTTTAGATACCAAAATGAAACAAAATGCTTAAAGTAACAATAAACTTAAACTTGATCAAAAGATTGATTTTAGTTTCGATTTGTAACAACTCAAGCCCACTACACTACAGTAGATATTGTCATCTTTGGGCTTCCTTTCAAGGTTTTAAAAAGAGTCTACTATGAGAGATATAGATATCCACACTCTTATAAAAAATGTTTCGTTCTCTTCTTCAATCAATATGAGATCTCGCTATCCACCCCCTTGAGGGCCTAGCATCTTCACTGGCACGCTGACCAGTGTTTGTCTTTGATACCATTTGTAACTGAAGTCCACCGCTAGCATATATTGTCTTTTTTGGGCTTTTCCTTCTAGGCTTCCTCTCACGATTTTAAAACGCGTCTACTAGGGAGAGATTTCCACACACTTATAAGGAATGATTCATTCTCATCTCCAACAAACGTGGGATCTCACACGATTCTTTGTCATAAAACGAACATCATTCTTTTGATCATCTTTGCCTCAACACTGAAATATCCTCATACCGTTTCTGCAGCAGAAAGATTAAAAGCAATCAAAATTCAAGACCAATGTCCAGAAACAGTCGAATCTGGTAACAAAAGGTCATGCGAGATTTTAGTTCAGCATTGGACATGAGAAGCTACATTTATCAGTATTATGTATGCCAATCAACACCCCCCCGAAGGCTTCAAGACCGATGGACAGAATAAAACATAAGGCCGAGTGATATAGTTCTAAGTAATCACACACCAAGGGCCGAATTAAACAAAAGCTTACTGGGAAATCACTCATGAAACGAGGAAGTGATATTTCAATTCTTCTACAGTTGCACAGGATGCCTCAATTTCAACTAGCTAAATCTCAAATAAATGCAGATCCAATATCCAAAGTTTGACAGAGCTACCAAGCTTGGAGATTTAGATTTATATACAAATAATTGTTGAGTTCAATAATAAGTGGAAGAAGGAGGATTTGAACCTTTGATCTCAATTCGTCGAGGTACTGTTTTATGTTAGTTGAGCTTCGCTCTGTTTGACGAGTTTTATTTATATTGCAGAAGAGAAATCGAAAGCTGATGAGTACTAACCTTCATAAAGGATGGTGTGTCAGTATGTTTGTGAGATCCCACGTCAGTTAGGGAGAATGAAGCATTTTTTATAAGGGTGTGGAAACCCCTCATTAGCAAACGCGTTTTAAAAACTTTAAGAAGAAATCTGAAAGGAAAAGCCCAAATAGGACGATATCTACAAGTGCTTGGGCCGTTATAATGTCATACCTCAACATTGTGGTATTCCCAGAGCTTGGTACGCCATAATCAACGGTCTGCATCAGGAGAACCAAATTGACAAAGAAGCATGGTCCAAAGTGGAGGTATCAACTATCGACTACAAGAGTATTAGGAAAAACATGATTATTCCAATCAATACACAAAAAATGATGCATAAAGGATTTATAAAATTCTTTGAAAGCTATAGAAATATGTACATTAAGATTCTATCATAACATTAACTAAAGTTGTGGCTTCGAGTGGAGATACCCATTAAACAGTAAGACAAGACATACTACCCTCACTCCTCAGTTAGTTCAGTTCATATATAGTAAATGAATGAACACGAACATCAAAAGTAGATCTTATAATCTCATTTGGGATAGTAGCATGTCTTGGTTTCTTAAATCACGAATGTAACTGAAAGATGTGATAATATTCGAGTCATCCCATAGTCAATACACGCTAGACAATAGACATGACAATGCAGTCCGTCTCAAAGCTGATGTAGTCTGAGTCGATCGAGACTCGTTTTAAAGATTTTTTCATACTGTTGATAGAGATAGGATGGTTCACCATGTTTTGGAACTACGTTAAGTTGGATGATGATCCTATACAACCCATAACAGCTAAACATACAAAAACCAGTACTCATTTTGTAGCAAATAGAACGCATAATCCAGAAAATGGTACAAAAAAAAAAAAAAAAGATTTAGAACAAGCAACGAAATTCCAAACTTTTAGATGAAATACTTTGTAACCGTCCAAACTCACTGCTAGTAGATATTGTCTACTTTGGGTTACGTATCACCGTCAGCCTCACGGTTTTTTAAAATGCGTCTACTCGGGAGAGGTTTCTACACACTTATAAGTAATGCTTCGTTTCACTCTCCAACCGATGTGGGACCTCACAATCCACCCCCTTGGGGGCCTAGTGTCCTCGCGGGCACATCGCCTAGTGTCTGACTCTATACCATTTGTAAGCCCAAACTCACTGCTAGCAGATATTGTCCGCTTTGGCCCGTTACATATCGCCGTCAACCTCACGATTTTTTAAAATGTGTTTACTAGGGAGAGGTTTCCACACCCTTGTAACGAATGCTTTGTTCCCCTCTCCAACCAATGTGTGATCTCACAATCCACCCCCCTTGGGGGGCCTAGCGTCCTTGCTGGCACGCCCGATGACGACTCTGATACCATTTGTAACAGTCCAAACCCACCGCTAGCAGATATTGTCTGCTTTGGCACGATTTTTTAAAGCACGTCTACTAGGAAGAAGTTTCTACCCTCTTGAAGGAATGTTTCGTTCCAGTCTCCAACTGACGTGGGATCTCACATACTTCAACCCCTCACTCCAAAACTTTACACAACTCATCTGATGGGAACATAATACGATTCTGGGCAACAATAGAGAGGATACTATTAGAATTTTGAAGTTCCATACGGCATATTCAATTTTCAATCCTATTTAACTTAACACAGCCACAAAGTCAGTTACAGAATTCTTGCCAGAAGCGACTTGCGACCGAATCTCAATTTCTAGTCCGTATTTTCCCCTTTCTCCGAAATGGAGGAATCATATCATATAACATGACGATGAAACATATTCAATCCAGTTCTATTCAGCTCCCAATTTTTCTACTAAAAGAAACGGTTCCAATCCAACATCCGAATTCGCCTAATTCCAAGAAAATCGACACAACAAAATGCTCTATTATTTTGAAACGAACAAAAGGAACAACAGAAATGGATTCAATGAAGAACATAAAGATGAGTCCAGGTCCTTACCCGCTCGCCAACAAAAGCGCCGGCGATAATGAAAGTGACATAAACGAAGTTCCGGCACATAATAACTCTGTAATGACCTTAACGGAGGCCTCCTCCACTCCTACGAGCAGCAGAAGCCATTGGCGTCGTGAATTGGCTTCACCGCCCACGAAATTCAATTCGTAGGGCTTCTCCTCTGCAACAGTATTGAAATTTTGAGATAATTGAAAGGGTTTTGCGGTTTTCTTTTCGTTGACGGTTGATCGGTTCGGTCAACCAGAGCTATCAAGATCGAACCGGTTTTGCGGTTCCCAACATCCCCCCCAATTAAAAATAAATATAATTATAAAATAGTTTAAAAAACATTTTAAAATATTCTTAATTCTATTAATTTTTTTTGTTCTTCTTTATAGTAATAAAAAATTAATTTAAAATTAAAAGGGAGAGACTTAGGGTTTTTAAAAGAAGCTGTTTATTTATTAATAATAACAATAATTTTATTTAATAAATTATGCTCGATCGATAATAACTGAGTTATTACGATAATATTTAATGTTTATATCTATTCGAATTTCAAAATAGAAAATCTAAAAAATAAGAACACATTATCGAATATATTATGAACAATTTTTCAATCAAAAACATGAAATATAAATTATGTATTTAAATTTCATGAAAATCTTTGAAACTTACATAAATGTCAAACAAATTTAAAAAGAAAAAAAGAAAACTGGGTCGATTGACATCTCATACATCTATCAATATCAATGTCTTACTTTTAATAGCGTTCATCAATTTATTTTTGAAAGAACATTTTCATCTTACATAATGTATGTCCACCGAACTCCTAATTTGATATAATTTTAGAACACTTTCTAATTTGAAGGAGTATCCACCCAAACTTAACGGTTTCAAAATCACGAGATTAGAAGCTCAAATACTAAAAGTTAGTGTCGTCTTAGACAGTATTGTTCATGATAACTTCTTGAATCAATCGAAAACGGTATCCATTTGAAACAAGTCTGATCTAAAAACAGATGAACACTAAGCATATACTGAACAGAACAAATCTAACTTTATTGTGAATGAATAAAATGAATGAATTTCCTGAATTCAGATCTTAGTTTTGGATGTTAATATGAAACATGCTTCAATTAGAAACAAGAACGAAGAACACAATCTCATAAATTGTCGCAAAAAAACATATATAAATATGTGAGGAAATTAAGGAAGAATATAATAATAAAATCTTTCAAACATGTTTAGTATGATTATTTCAATATATTTTCAGACATTACAATACACAAACCACCACATTATTTAACCAAAAAAAAAAAATAAAGAAGAAACCCACCAACTTAATTAGTAGTATGTTTTCAACAACTGTTCAATATTCTCAAAGATCCGGCAGTGGCGGAGGCGGCGGCGGAGTTATTATTCGGCGACGATCTCTTAGCTTCTCGGGCTAAAGCCCGGCGAGCCGACACAATCCCGGAAGGGAACAAAGAAGCTTCAAATGCGGAGCCGTCGATCCAATCCTTCAAAAGCTCTTCCTTACCCCATTTCTCCGGGATCCAAACCTGCCCCGCCACCGCCACACGGTGGCGCTTCAGCCGCTCCAGCCCGTTCTCCTCCGGCGCCAGAAGCTTCTGATCGTCACTTTTTTGATCGGATTCTTGGTTATCCGGCAATAATGGGGAGGTGGGTTTGAGAGGGGAGGCTAAAAGAGCCATTTTTGTTGGTAGGTTTTGGTAAAGATTGAAACTTTATGGAGATTTTAGGGTTAGGAGATGTGGGTTTGGTTTAGAATAATGAGTAGAAGGTCGAAGGTTGAGCTTTGTGTGGGTATTAAATGGCACAGAGAATGGGTGGAAAGGTTAGTATGCACGTCATTGAGCCAACTCCGACACTATTTTTGTATGGTAAATGACAAACAAACGTGTCTTTTCTCAGATTGGATTCCACTTGTGTGGCGCCATCTTTAATTCTCTCTCAAAGAGAGGATTTTTATAGAACGATGTGAGGTTGATGTTGGAAGTTTCAAAGGGAGGGAATTTGGCCAATGGGTTTCAATATTCTATGCTAATTAATGTGAAGAACACCTCTAGTTTTTGTGCATTTTCTTTCAGATATTTTCCATACCATTTGACAATGGACGTGTGTGTAGTTTTGTATAGATTCGAGATATTCGATTTTAGGTTAAAATAATGACGGGTTTGATTGTAGTTTAGCTTGATATTTCTAGTTTATTTAGATGTATGTTTTACCTCTTTTAGAGTGTTGTAGGTAACTATGTTGTTAATGAGTATTAAAAAGAATTGTTTTTAGAAATTTTTTTATATCGTATGAATTTTATGTATAATAGACCATGATTGTCCTGGGTATTAATGTTGCATGGTATGAGATCTCACATCGGTTAGGGAGGAGACCGGAGCATTATTTATAAGAGTGTGAAAACCTTCTCCTACCAGAGAACAACATTTATAAGGAAAGCCCAAAGGGGACAATATTTATAAGGGTGCGGAAACCTCTCTTTAGCAGACACGAAAACCCCAAAGAGGACAATATTTGGTAGCGGTGGGATTTGGCCGTTACAAATGAGGAAACCTCTCCTTAGCAAACACATTTTAAAACCTTGAGGGGAAGTTGAGAAGAGAAAGGGTCGAGAAGTGGGCTTTGGCTCTTACAAATGAGAAAACCTCTCTTGAGACATTTTAAAACTTTTGAGGAGAAGTCAGAAGAAAAAACCCAAAGAAGACAATATTTGCTAACGGTTTTGGCTGTTACAAATGATATCAGAGCCAGACATCAGACGATGTGCCAGTAAGGAGGCGTGGACACGAGTTGTGCCAACAAGGATGTTGGGCCTCGAGGAGGGTGGATTGAGAGGTCCCACGTCAATTAGAGAAGGGAAGGAGTGACAGCGAGGACACTGATCCTTGAATAGGGGTGGATTATGAAATCCCAACGGAACATTATTTATAAGGGTGAGAAAACCTCCCCTAAAAGTTGAGGAAGCTCGGAGGGAAAGCCCACCAAAGAGGACAATAATATAATCTCTAACCGGTCGTTATTAAAAACTTAAATACCAGCTCATCGTATGATAGGTTTTGGATTAAGCTTCGAAGGTATAATGGCACAACCATGAGCACTAAATTGAGCACAGCGGCTTCATCTTGGCTTCAGCCATTACAGTACTTTGCTGAACCAACTTTCAAGCTCTTCAGCTAGAACATCATTCATATTGTAACTACAGATAAGACTGCAAATATATGAGCTATTTTATTACTCAAAAGATATACAGAGTAACGAAACTGATGCATATACAGATACTACGATCTATAGCAGCATATTATATGTACGAACGAAGGTAGGTTGAGTGCTCGGACTGGACGAAGGTGATTAAGCGCTAGGATAGCGCAAACGACCTTTCTTCTTTAGGAATTCTGGGATTTCAAACGAACTACCTTCGTTGAAAGAGGAAGGTCTACGGTTGATTCCGAAATTGTTGTTTCCCAGGGACGGTTGACTGGCCTGTAATAAAAGAGAGACGAAACAGGTTTAACGTAAGATCTAGCATGATTTAGCCCGTTTGTCGCAGACCTATACCGAATACGGAATTAAGCGTATATTTTGTGCAGATACAACGATACCTGAACGGGCCGTCCTTCGCTTTCTTCTTGGCGCTTAAATCCAGTTGCGATTAGAGTTATACTAACCTGAAAATAGAGGGGTGGTAATGGTCATTGGAGAGTAGGGAGAGATAAAAATGGCTGAGTTTTAGCTGGTGGAGGCGCAGAATGCAAAGATGAAAATGAACTACGCTGGAACATATAACTTACTTGACCGCTCAGTGAAGGATCTATCACTGCTCCAAATATTAAGTTCGCAGTTGGATCCACAAGGTCATATATGACCTCCGCTGCAGCATTCACCTGTGATTATCCACTAGAAATGTTGATGCCCCAATCGAAGTTCGGTTTCTTATGTTGTGACATGTTGAATCTATAGATTACTGTCTAAAGGCATGTGGTACTTGTATGAATAGATCACACATCGGTTAGAGAGGAGAACGAAACATTCCTTATAACGGTGTGAAAACCTCTCCCTAGTAGACACGTTTTAAAACCTAAAGGGAAGCCCGAAAGGAAAAGTCCAAAGAGGACAAAATCTACTAGCGGTAGGCTTGGGCTGTTACAAATGGTATCAGAGCCAGACACCGGACAGTGTCCCACATCAGTTGGAGAGGGGAACAAAGTATTCCTTATAAGAGTGTGGAAACCTCTCCTTAGTAGAGGCATTTTAAAACCTTGAGGAGAAGCCCAAGAGGGAAAGCCCAAAGAGAATAATATCTGCTAGCGGTGAGTTTGGGCTGTTACAAATAGTATCAGAGTCTGACACCAGGCAGTGTCCCACATCGACTGGAGAGGGGAACGAAGCATTCCTTATAAGGATGTGAAAACCTCTCCCAAGTGGACACATTTTAAAACCTTGAGTGAAAACTCGAAAGGGAAAACCCAAAGAAGACAACATCTACTAGTGGTGGGCTTGGGTTGTTACAAACGGTATAAGAGCCAGACACTAGGGTGTCCCACATCGGTTGGAGAGGGGAACAAAGCATTTCTTATAAGGATGTGGAAACCTCACCCTAGCGTAAGCGTTTTAAAACCTCGAGGGGAAGCTCGAAAGGGAAAGCTGAAAGAGGAAAATATCTACTAGTGGTGGAGTTAGGCTGTTACGAGATGTGACATAAGAGGGTGGACTTTAGAATTTGTAACGCGGGCTTTACGCCATGGGTTAAGAATCGAACTCCATAATGCTAACGAGATGAAAGTAACAGAGATTCAAACTAAATAACAGTCACCATCAACTACATCATCTAGTTTCGCTTCATATCAATCTCATAAACATGGTAGATCAAAGTTCAGAGAGCAATGAGATAAAGATATATAAATAGGTTGAGATAGGCAGGTAAGAGGAACAGAGAGAGCCACACCTCAAATAAAGTCAAATCACTTCCACCCGTTATGTTCCACACAATTCCAGTGGCCCTTTCTATGCCAATATCCAACAGAGGTGATTGGATAGCGTTTAAAGCAGCATCTCTTGCCCTCGTCTTCCCTGCACCAATATAAACAAAAGGTAGCGTTGGTTTATATTAGAACAGCTGATCAAAATATCTTAAGAGTTTGGATATCATTGGCCAAACCCACTGCCTCACTGCCAGACAGAGTACGTTTACAGCTTCATCTTGGTCTTACTTGAATATGTTCTTTTACAGTTTTGATCTTTCTATAATTTCTACCTATTACACGAACTTTTGTTGTTCTGTTCGTGTTTCCCGCCCTGTGCGGCTGTGCCTCGTACATTTTACTCGTCGATGAAATGTTTCTCACCCCAAAACGGGGAAGGGAAAATTTCAGACATTAGAAAAGGTCAGATCCAGGATTGTGGACATTCAAAGGATAATGAAGCAATTCCGTAAGTTTTGAAATTAAAGGTCGTCGATAAAAACGAAGATTTTGGTAGCTCAAAGTTAAGACGAAGAATTAGACCAGACTTTAGCAGTACATGAAAGCTTGTACATCAGTGAAATATGCAGCTTAGAGTTTACCAGTAGCAGTTCCTATTCCCATCAACGACGAACCAGCGTTTGCCATTATGGCACGGACATCGGCAAAATCTACATTTACGAGCCCTGGTATCTGATTATTGTAATGCAGTAACAGACCAAAAGTTAGATACTCAAAGGGTGTCCATGAACAAATTCTACTGATTAGTTTAAGCCTAGAATGCTGAACTTAACCAAAACTAAACCACTAAATGGAAGAAATAAACACCATTAAAATGTTTCCATATGCAAAGAGAATCTATGGTTTAAAATTTTTAAGGCTTGAATATACCGTGATGATGTCGGAAATACCACGAACACCTTGCCGAAGAATGTCATCAGCCAAATTAAAGGCTTCTGTCACGGGAGTAGCCTGTGAAACTGCTGTCAGTAACTTGTCATTAGGGATAACTATCAGTGTATCGACTTTGTCTCTTAAATTTGCAATTCCTTCCTGTGCTTGAACTGCTCGCCTTCGTCCTTCGAAAGAGAACGGAGTGGTAACAATACCAACTGTCAATATGCCCATTGACTTTGCAATGCCTGCAACAATAGGAGCCGCTCCGGTTCCAGTTCCTCCACCCATTCCAGACTACAAGCAAACAAATTAATCACATAGTTAGTAAAGCATAGGTCTCCTGGAATATGCCAAGCAAAATCAATCCCGAAATCTCCAACGACGAGCAAATTATGTAGATACAATCCGGAAACAAACTTTTTTATTATGGCTTCTCAGACCAATGGCAACGAGTCAACCTCGTGACATATTGACAGAAGCTGCCCTACCCACATGGCTAAAGATATCACTCTCTTTTTAGCCAAATCGACAAATCTATCGAGTCTTAGGTGGTTCGGACATGACAATACAGTGCTACCTAAAGGCAAAGGAACAATTGTCATGCATGCTAAACAAGGTGAACACAAAATATCCAACGTTTTATACGTTCCAAGGATTGAACTTATGTAGTAGCTCAATTGCTGCATGACTCAATTCTCGTGGTTTTCAAAGACCAAGTTCGTGTTATTTATGACCACAAAGAATAAAGATTAGGGTCGTCGTGGTTGGAAATGTTTTTTTTTTTACGGTGACTCTTTATGCCATCATGTTCTTAATGCCAAGTAGAAGAAAGCAAAAAAGTGAATCACTTACAGTGACAAACACCATGTCAGATCCATAAAGCACCTCTTCAATAGCTTCTTTACTTTCATTTGCAGCATTCATGCCAATCTCAGGATTCCCACCAGCACCAAGACCTCTTGTAAGTTCTTGACCAATTTGTAGACGGTTTTCGGGATAGACAGGAGACATTTTCATTGCTTGAACATCTGTATTAACAATCCAAAACTCCACACCCTGCATCGAACTTTCAATCATACGATTAACGGCATTTGATCCACCACCTCCCACACCAATAACTTTAATCTTTGCCTCATTGTAATTACTACTGGATTCATCTTCCAAGTTCCCAGTAGTAGTTCCACTCACATTGTCCTTTCTTAGCATGGAAACTTCAGGGTGTAAATCCAGAAATGAATCTCTGTTCTGATATGGGCTGACACTGTGAGAATTGTAAGAACACTTGACCGAACTTGATTTTTGATTGATACCCACAAAGCCATTCCTATCCTCAGGCATTTTCATACAGAATTTTCCCGAGTGATGCTCCAAAGAGACTCTGCCTCCAAGAGCAGACAACATTCCAACAGGGTGTCGAGTAAGAGCAAAATTCATCGAAGCATAACTTGCCATCATCTAACAGCTGAAAATCGAAAAGGAATTCAGATACATAAATGGTCGAACATTTAAAGTGTGTGACTAAATATGTCGCTATCAAAGAACGTGGATTCAGAAGATTAGTGGAATAGAAGCAATCAATTGGGGTATGTTGAAATGAAAACCCGATCCAAGAATCAAGAATTACTAGTAAGAATTACACAAAGAACTTAGAAATGGTAGAAAACTCAAAACCCATTACACATTATGAATCAAATTCGACGGAGAAAAGGAAATTAAACCCAAAAGCTGAGATAATAGGAAAAAAAAACTCGAGCAAATGCATTTTCGAAAAGGGCACCTGAAAATGCTTCTGAAGAGAGCAGTGAAAATCGCCGGGGAGCGCTAAGGTTGGAAAATCCAAATGGGGTTGAATGGTTTCGGCCAAAGAGAGGAGAGGATGGGCAGTAATCTTGTGCAAGGGCAAAAAAAAGAAAAAAAAGAAAAAAAAAAAACAAGCAAATTCGGCTCGACTAGACCGCCGCCACCAGTGCTCAACAACGGCCCATCCTTTTCCTTTTATTACTGTTCTTTCACTGCCACACTACACAAATTCTTTCATCTAGCTTAAAAAGAAAAAAGTTTTGACCTTTATAAAATTCACTTTTGATTATATTATATAAAGAGTATTAATTTTTTTTAAAATATGAGTATTTAAAAATTTAACTATAATCTTAAAAATGGAAGAATAAATACAAAAATTTTCAATTTTGTGTCACTATTTATCATATTTTTAAAGTTTCTTTAACGTAAAATTAAAAGTTTAAATTTAATAAGTTTAAATTTAATAAATTATAAAACTCAATAATTACAATAGAAAGATTATTCTATAAACAGTTAAAGATGATAATTAATATGTTATTCACGTGTTACATTTGAATGGATCAATAATTTAGTTACTTTTTGAGTTCGAATAAAAATGACTAATAAGTGATTTAATTTCTTAGTGGTTTGAAGATTAGAAAAGATTATAAAAATAAACATATGGAGAAGAACACAAGAACATTAATTGTTTTCAAACAAGAACATGTACAGACGGACAGCACAATAGCAGAAGGCTAAAAGATGAGGAGTTTTACATTTAGGACCGTTTCTTGGCGACTACAGCCATGTAGAATCTAAAGGCGAAATGCGAAGCTCTGAAGCTTACAGTTCCTAGAACCAGAAACAATGAGTAGCAAATGCAACAATTGTACACCAAAAGAGGGAGGAACTCTCTGTCACTTTCAGTTTTGATCTTGGAAAGGAAGTAGATGCCATAAACAAACATGAGTATGGCAGGTGACCCCCCGCGTAACACTGATCTGCAACCATTCTTTTCTTTCAGGTTTCGAAAACAAAACGAAACAAACCAATGCACCAAGTTCTAAGGATATCAGTTTTACCTCCACCACCAGTTGTAGTCATTTTTGAGTAACTGGACACCAGTAAGCGCATACGCAGAAATTATGGTAGTTATGATCACAGTTGAGAAGACTGCAAATAAGGTGAAGAATGACCCGCACACCTTCAAACCCCACAAGCTTGCATAGATGTCATCCATTACCAAGCAGACAGGCAAGAAGACTGAAAGCCCCACAAGAACCATCTGAGCAGGTGTCTTCATATACCATAAACTGGAAGCTGGTGGGTTAAATACGTCTACCATTCTGGTGGCACAAGCTGTAACATCATGCTCTGGTTCATACCACTTCCTTGTTGCTATGCAACATAGGTACACTAAAATGGCACTGCCAATTCCTGCTATTGACAGAATATAGATTGCATCGTTCACCATTAAGCTATTCGACACGAATATCTTTGCTAGAAGAACAGCTAGGAACGCCGGATAAAAGTAGAGCGCTCCCGTTAGAAAGACACATTCTTTCTGTACCGGGATAAAAAATTTTAGTCGAAACATCTTAGTGCATGTCATGCATATCATACATCTTATCATATCATAAGCATATCATGTCTCTCAACACATCATGTCATACTGTACACGTATCATATCATAAAATATATCACAATATGCGTCGTATCGTCAAAAGTATCTACCATAACATATATCATATCATTCACATAACATATCATGCATAGTCATATCATTTTGTCAAATGTATCATACCTAACATATATCATATCATTCACATATGTAGTTTGAGTTTAATTCCATTTTAAAGAAGCATGAACGGATTTAAGAATATACCAATCTAACTAGAGAAAAATTCTCACACATCTTATCATGTGACATGTATCATATTATAAGTATATCGTATCTTTTAATATATCATGTCATACCGTACAGATAATATCATAAAGTATATCACAATATGCGTCATTTCGTCAAATACATCGTACCGTAAAATATATCATATCATTCACATAACATATTATAGTCATATCATTTCGTCATCATTTCATAACATGTATTGTTATATATAAGTTTTATTTCCTTTCAAAGAAGCATGAATGAATTTGAGAATATACCAATTTAAGTGGGGAAAATTTCTCATGAAATGATCTGCCTATAAATGCAGACGGTACTGATGTTAGACAATATGCCAAGACAATATCAACAGAGATTCTTTCACGGTTGCAGGGGTAGATACCCTGGTATGCAGAAACAAAAAGCAATACAATTCTGCAGACACAGTTGGTTTAATGATTAGATGATGAACAAACGATAAGCTATAGATTAATACAATTTTAAAGGTTACATGATTAGATGCTGAGTTCCAACGCCCAATAAAGCACCGAGTAAGGATGTGAACATCGGACACTGGCACACTTTATCATTGAAACGACTACCTTGATGAGGTTGTCTGTAAACAATCAACAAATCTGAAAGATTAACAAAATTCTTGAATTCGCCTTAACTACCAAGAACAAAGGGGAGGCGAAGCAATTTTACCTGTTCAACGTGACATACCGAAACAGATACGGCGAAGCAACTACAAGAGGCAATGCGACCCACCAAAAGGAAATGGTAGTCCAAAGCCAAATTCCCGACCAAAACAAGCCTCGATTCTCTTCCAAAACCCACGAGGCTTTCCCATATGGAGCTTTGTTCCAGGATTTAAAGTAACTCGAATTGTTCGTGGGTTTGATTTCATTCCAGACGACTGAGTACGAAAATTCCACAGGGGTTTCAGTAATATTGGTTATAGCCACAGAAAAATCGAGACTGTTTACAATATTAACGCCCTTCACTTGATCCTCCATGAAATCGAGGTTGAATTCAATATGATTGAAAAGATAATATTTCTTCCCTAATCCTGTTTCTTCAATGGCTTCCCCCACCTTACTTCCAAACCAGATGTCGGCGAAGTACATTTGGTACTCAAATTTGTTTTCAATGGCAGTCTTAAACCTTTTGAGATCATCTTCTGTCATATACTTATCGCAAAGGAAGCCCTCCGACACTGGAACGCCGAATCTCAAATCGTATTGAGTGTTGGTTAAGCAATCGCCTGCCAGAATTTCATTCAGGGATTTCTTTCTTTTGTGTAGTTTTTCTGTAATCAATGAAAGATGTACAACAGATTAAACATAATTGATCTTTGGATTATATAATACCAGTCAAAGAGTTCGAGCATCTAATTAGATGAAGAACAATATGACCTTCACCTCCTGGAGGGCAAAATGGAAGCGAAAAATATGAGTCTGCATCGCTGAAAAAAAAAAAAAAAAAAAAACGGAACAAAGATCAACGAATAAATTGAAATATATACATAATTTAATCTCGATTACAACTCAACTCATTCAAAATTTTAATTACAACTCAACTAATTGAAATATACATATAATTTATTCTCGATTACAACTCAACTAATTAATTTTCAATGTTTTAAAAACGAAAACTTATCTATCTTGAAAAACTCAAAAAGCCATGAAAATTCAAATTTCAATTACAACTCAACTAATTGAAATATACACATAATTTAATCTCGATTACAACTCAACTAATTAATTTTCAATGTTTAAAAAACGAAAACCTATCTATCTTGAAATATACACATAATTTAATCTCGATTACAACTCAACTAATTAATTTTCAATGTTTAAAAAACGAAAACCTATCTATCTTGAAAAACTCAGAAATCCATGGAAATTCAAACTCAAATTTCCAATCAACCAAACAGATTCCATACCATCACGAGAACAGAAACCGAGATGAAATCTTTGCAATAAAAGAAAATTAAAAAGATAATGGAAGTAAGAAACTACCATCGTTCATCGGCCCCAAATACTTTGTTGGCGAACAGAGGAATTTGGTCTCCGTATGCATATCCTGGAGGCTTTGATGAAGAAGCGCGTCTTTGATCATCTATAGCTCTGAAAATTCTGGCGGAGAAGGGGAGTGGGAGAAGAAAGATCAAAATGAGGATCGAGTAAATCAGTTTACGACATGGCGCCATTTCTTGATTCTGCGACCCAGATATTCAAAAATGGAGGGAAAACTAGAGTCCTTATGCATTATATATATATATATATATATAGCCCAAAACACTGGACTTTTACTACTAAGCTTGTGGTAATTTTCATGCGGTTATTCATTTTCACCGCATACTTTTCATTCATTTTTTACTTTATATTTAAAAAAAAAATCTAAAAATTACTTTTATATAGAAACCATAATAATTTATTTTAGTAATTTTTAAAAAAAAATTAATTAATGCATTTCAATTTTTTTAGTTAAAAAAAATTATAAAAATATTTTACTGCTACGTTTAAACAATACTCAAGAAATTATAAAAATAACATTAACCATTTTATTATGACCTTTCATAAATTATTTTAAAATTTTTTAACCTTTCAAAGTATTTTTTAAACTATATTTTTTAATTTTTAAAAATAAATTAAAGGTATTTTTGAAGTTAATATATATATATATATATATATATATATATATATATATATATATATATATTATATAAAAGAATAATTGAAATTATTTATTTTAATACATCTTTTCCTTTTTCTGAAGCAGTGGAATGCGAAGTTCCGATTCCGATCTTATCTTTGTTCGATTTCGCGTCATTACCAACTTCCATCCAATTCCCCAAATTTCCCTTTTACTACATCGCTTTCTTCATTTGGGCGGCGAACTTCTACAGCCGCCGGAGTTCCAGTTCGATCCAGATCATTTTCGCCTCACCATCCAGTAAGCTAACTCATCTATGATATTCATGGCGGGACTCTTCTCTTTCTTATGTTTACGTATTGAAGTTCATAGATTACCGATTCGATTTCTCGTATAGAGAGTTAGATTGGTGCGACCGGTTGAATATGGTCGTGTTGATTAGTTTGTTCTGTTTGTTGACGATCGATTTGAAAATTGTGGAGATTTTGAGTGAGCATTGCCGTTTTAGTAAAACCCCAAATTCTTGATTTAAACCTCAGATTCTTGATTTCATTAGTACTTCAGATGTGATAATTTGTTTTAGTAGACATCTGTTTCAGATCCAGGTTTTTATTGAATTACTTTTGTCAATTTGATTGATTTCGTCGATACGGAAACTCATTTTTATTCGTTTCGTGCTCATTAACTGCTTCAGATTGCACATATGACATATACATGGCTACTTTAAATCCTGTTCTTGTGAATTTGCGGAAGTAATTTCTTCATCTTGTGCTTTGGCGATGGAGCATCTTCCTGTTGAAGTGATCGGGAACATACTTTCCCATCTCAGAGGTGCTCGAGATGCAGTGATTGCTTCGGCAACTTGCAAGAAATGGAGAAAGGCTTGGCGCAATCACCTCCACACCCTTTCTTTTGATTCTGATGATTGGCCTGTGTATCATGTTCTCACAACCAGCAGATTGGAAATTCTTATCACTCAAACCATATTTCAAACAACTGCGCTGCAACATTTGGCGATTTCAATGGACCAAGTCGAAGAGTTCTCTGCTGCACCGGTTATGGCTTGGCTCATGTATACTAGAGAGACTCTGCGCCAACTTCATTATAATGTGAAGACGACCCCGATTTTCAATATCATTGAGAAATGTGGTCGACAAAAGCTTGAAGTGTTGGCGCTGGCTCATAACTCTATAACAGGCGTAGAACCCAGTTACCAGAAGTTCCCTTGCTTAAAATCACTTTCGTTGAGCCATGTCAGTATCTCTACATTGGATTTGAGCCTTCTTCTGACCACTTGTCCTAAACTCGAGAAATTGGCTCTAATCAGTCCTGATATTTCGATGTCGGATATGGAAGTTAGCAGTTCCTCATTGAGGGATATACATGTTGAAGCAATCAGTTTGGACAAGTTTATATTGGAGGCCGATAACCTTGAAGCTATGCATCTAAAAGATTGTACTCTTGAGCTGTTTGAAGTAGTTAGCAAGGGAGCTTTGAGAGTTCTAAGGATTGATGATGTTAGTGTTATCCATCTTGATATTGGTGAGAACATGGAAAATCTCGAGGTAGTAGATGTCTGCAACTTTACTATTTTGTGGCCGAAATTCTACCACATGATCTCGAAATCATCGAAGTTAAGGAAGCTTCGGCTGTGGGGCGTTGTATTTGACGATGATGAAGAGGTAATGGATTTAGAGACCATTTGTATGTGTTTTCCTTGGTTAAGCCATCTATCACTATGTTATGATTTGAAAGATGGAACCCTTCAGCATAGTTTGCAGGGGTCATCTCATTTGTTGAATGTGGTAGTGCTTGAACTAGGGTGGAGTGTAGTTAGTGAATTTTTCTCTGAATGGATGGAAAAACTTCTTGGAAGGTGCCCCAATTTGAAAAAATTGATCATTTGTGGGGTTGTTTCTGAGGTTAAAACGCATGAAGAATGCCAAACTTTGGCGAGCATCACCTTATCCCTTGTCCAGTTGATGAGAAAGTATAGGCATGTGGAGGTTCAGTTTGAATATGAATAGAAAAAGTTCATGGAGGTTCGTTCGGTCTCCAAGTTTGTTCTGAGAGCTGTATCGATATCAAATGCATCCCATCAGGTTTTTGACGATTCTGAAAACCTTTGTCTTCTTTGTTTACAAGCATTCATCAGTTTGAGCAATTGCCATATCCTAGTTGACAGATTACGAACTTATCTTTTCTTTTTCGTTCTCCACAAGGTTCATTTTTAGAGACTTGCTAGGATTCTGTATCTACTCTGAATTTGTATATTTTTCTAAACTCCCTGAATTGTATCTCTCTTTCCAGATATATACTATAAGCAAATAGCATTTAAAAGCACGTGCATTTCATTGATACAAATCCTGTGTCTGTATACATATTTTAGTTACTGGTCTATATAACACTTTATCTTTAGCGGTCGTGGAAACCTCTCCTTAGTAGACGTCTTTAAATACTTTGAGGAAAAGTCCAAAAAGGACAATATTTGCTAGCGGTGGACTTGGGCTGTTACAAATGGTATCAGAGTCAGACACTGGGCGATGTGCCAACGAGGAGGTTGAGCCTTGAAAGGGGTGGACACGAGGCGGTGTGCCAGTAAAGACGTTAGGCCTTGAAGGGGGGTGGATTATGGGGGTCCCACATCGATTGTATTAGAGAATGAGTGCTAGCGAGGACGTTGGGCTCCGAAAGGGGTGGATTTTGATATCCCACATTAGTTGGGGAGGAGAACGAAACACTCCTTGTAAGGGTGTAGAAACCTCTTCCAAGCAGATGCGTTTTAAACTTTGAGAGGAAGCCTGAAAGAAAAAACCTAAAACGACAATATCTGATAGCGGTGAATTTGGACAGTTAGAATCTGTTAGGGGTTTTTCTGCCTACACTGAGACAAGAAGCATCTCCTGATATGATAGAACCATTGGCATGGAAACTCTTATCTTCAGCTGTAATACGGTTAAAACATCGATGAACATATGACTAACAGGGCATTTTCATCCAATAATTCTTACGCTCACCATAGCATCAGATCCAGAGCCACTTCAAGATTTCTGCACTTAAACCCCAAATCCCCAGAAAAACAGAGCCTCCGCCGGCAACCTTCCATGCAAGAACTCGAGCGCCGTCACTGCCGACGGCTTAGTCTTCTCCGGCGGAAAATCCGACGGAGACTTCTCGGAAAGTGGGTTCGGCATCGTAGCCGTAACCCCAACTCTTTTCTCGGGGTTGAGCCGACTTCAAAGTTGGCGCCTCCGAGATGGTGTACTTGTTTGTTCAGGGGAGCGAGGACGCCGGCACTGTTGACCCGGCGAACCGGGTTTACAAAAAGGTGATTGAAGAAGGTGAAATGATGGTGATTTAGAAGGTGGCGCCCGCCATTTTTGGATCTGGGATTAAAGATCGGAGCTTTTGGGTTGAGTTTGAAGGAGATTATGAGGATGTTTGGTTCTTGAGGATAATCTAACGGTTATTTTACTATCATTGTGTTAACTCTTAGTGGTATTATTGCTGTGAAGCTGTGGGATATATGAATATAGATATGCAAGTGTGTCCAAGAATTTATTTCATTTTTTGAGTTTTTGAGTGGTGTACGATGAGTAAGAGTGTTCATATGACTCAATGACCTGACAATTTGAATTATTCAACACCGAAGATAAACCCGAGGGGAACATCCTCGAGGAAAAAAATCGTCATAAACACCCACCAAGTGCACAAGGGAGATTCTGTCGAAGGTTGAGGTTAGGGTTTCTTCAAATTGTAAATATTGTGTTTTTGATCCCATTAGATTCGTTTTGAAAAACCCACGAACTTTGAACGCTCATACCTTACTTATTTCTAAATAAAAATATGCGATTTTGGCGTCTAGATACATTTTGAATAGTAGTATAACTTTGAAGTCGGTTTTTCGAGGTGGTTTCACCAATTTTATTCCCTCGTCACCACTGGACCCAAAAAATTGGTGATTAGAAAGTTGAAAAAAAAAGATAATATGACTGTGAGCAGAGTAAATAGATAAGAGAGTTTGAAGGGATGGTGGGGCGATGGATGGGATAGCAATACCACATATGCTTTTAGTTTAGGGTTCTAGGGATTAGTTGCCAATTCTCTCTTGTTTTACCTTTAATTTTGAGGTTCTATTGATGAGACCGCAAAAAAAAAAGGGAAGTTGAAACTTAATTTCTTATAGATTAGAGGTTTTCAAATGACTCGAGAATCCTACCAACTCGAACTATTGAATTCAAACAATAAAAGTTGGGTTGGGTAAAAAAAATTGATTTGGGTTAGGTTGAAGTTTTGAAAAACTGAAAAATCGAGTTGGTTCAAAGGTTATCCTATGATCCGACCAACCTGAAAATAGAGTTATAATCCAACTCAACCTTACTCTACCGTACTTATTATCGCATTGATTAAAAGAACCGTCCATTAAAATATTCTTCAAAAGTGTGGGATGGGAGAACAAAGGATCTTAAAAGATTTGCTTTTTGCAGATTTGGGCCATACATGCCAATGGATAGATACCCCACAATATTTAAGGATGTAGCTCCCTTGAGTTGTCTATCAATAAGAACTCCATTCCCTTGCCAATGGATAGTGCTTGTGAGGGCCATCTACACGTGACAATTCCAAAAAATTCGGAATAAAATATGACACATGACAAACCTAGCACCAAAATACATGTCCTAACAAAGTTTCGTATCGAAGCATGTCGTTAGAAACCAAAACGATGAAATGGGATCCCGCGTTAACTAAAAATCAAAGTAATGTTGATTCTTAGGAATTGACTTAACGTAGAGGTAAAAAGCTACAGAGCAGAACTATGAATCAAATGCTACGTTACTCACTAACTTCTCTCCTTTATCTACTGAGAAAGAGAAGTTAAAGAGAACTGAATCATTTGTTCAGGCTCCTCTTTGGAGGACCCCGAGCCATGAGTGAGATATTAATCTGGAAAAGTTAAAATTCTAACCTTGTTCAGAACCTACGGGCCAAGAGATAATCTCATGTAGACAATTTCTACCGTGCATAAACCGCCCAAAAGGTATCGGAGGCTCCTCATCTACTAAGAAAGAGAAGTTACTAAGAAATGAGAGTCTGGAGCCTAAGTGAAATATCACTCTAGAAAAGCTAGAATTCCAACCTTGTGTTAGACGGGTCATGGGAGAGGCTCAACCAAAAAGTACCTAAGGCTACTCTATCTACTAAGAAAGAGAAATTAATGGCAAAGATGTCTTTAATTTAGGGTCAAGTTCGACAACAATCATCTTGCATCATATTTTCAAACACATTCAAAGCATTTCGAACGAGTACACATATTCCAAACTCACTCACTCACTCTATATACAACAAACTCACCTCCACGTTCCAAAAACTACTTAAAAAGCCAACAAAACTCACAAAACTAACCCTTAAAAACACAAACAAACAGTAAAAAGAAGAAGAAAAAGCAAAACCCATTTCTAAAAGATGGGTTTTTTATGAACTTTTTGGATCAAATCATGATCGCCTGCTTGAAGCAGCAGTTCCTCTTTGTGCATTGAAATAAACAGCTGCAACAGGAAGACCCAAATCATTCTCAGCTGCAAATCTTCGAGTGTTGAAGTGATCCCTTGAAGATGGAGAGTTTACCGAACAACGATGTTTTTGTTTGAACAGAACAAACACAAACCTGTGTATTCCTATTGTCGGTTTTGGGATTTCATAGCTCACTTCTTCTCTTCCTGTCATTAAAAAAAACATCTTTAAACCAAAATCTCTGCCTTTCTCTCTCTTCAAGTAGAAAGAGAAAGTAAGCTATACCAAAGGTGGCATCAGTAGTTCCTGGAATGTCAGTCACCAACCTGTAAAAGATACCCAAAATTAGGGGTCGATATCGAAATTATGTTTCTCGGTGATTTTAAACACGATAAAAATGATGGGTTTCGATCAAAGTTACGTTTTTTCGAACTTTAAAGCTCAAAACTTGCAAATCTCGTAATATTTTGTATAAGTGGAGATGATTTTAAACACGACAAAAGTGATGGGTTCTGATCAAAGTTACGTTTTTTCAAACTTCAAAGCTCAAAACTTACAAATTTTGTAACGTTTTGTACCGGAGATGATTTTAAACACGATAAAAATGATGGGTTTTGATCAAAATTACGTTTCTTCGAACTTTAAAG